ATCGAAATGAACCAATCACAGCCGACCTTTGTGATATAAATGATACCGTGCAATCAGTCGACCTTATCGCCTGAGTAAGACTGGCAGTAAGCAGTCGAAACGTCGCGATCTACATCTCAAGTGACTATTCAGGCATCGTGAGACAAACGATAATACACTTTATTATTGCACCTACCACGATGAATAACAACCTTTTCCACCTATCTGCTTCTCTTGATTACACTACCACAATGAACACTGAGAATTCATCAGATCAATCAGTCACATTGCTAAAATTCATTTATTTCTTCTTTTGTTTTGTACCATAGTACATTTCTCACAGGAAAATACTCCTTACATCATTTGCATTTGCACTTGCACACCGAAAAAACCTACAAAATTTTAACAGCCACAAAACATATTTACCGCTAAACAAACTAAAAACACATAAGACAAATTGCACTTAACATTCAAGCAATAAAAGCACAAAATAAAATTACCAAAAAAACTCACAGTAGGGTAACATCTTGAATACAATTCAGTTATGAAGAACGTATCGAGACTTAAGCTCTCAAGCTGACCCTGTGCGAGAAAAATGAATTTGAAGTTTTCAATATTTTAATTAAACCGAACGTTTCACGTCAGATCAAATCAAAATAACAAGGTTTAGAGGTGAACTTAACATAGACTTTCTCGAGAATTTGAAAGCAGGGTCATTTTGGGAAATGAGGTGTTTCATATACCAAAATGTTACCACAATATGAGCAGATCTTAAGTACATAATTTTGTGCACTTATTGCTCAAACAAAATATATGGCTACCTGAAGAATAAATATATTGGTTTACAGTTACAAGCATTCATATCATTAGTCACATATTTGTGCGTTTTATGACTAGAGTCTTCTTTCTTGTACATCTACTGCTGATAAACTTCACTGAGAATTTAGTTTGCCTGAGGCAGTTATGTGCTTGCCTAAAGTAACTTTTTGTTCTAAAATCACAACTTACTTGTTAGTAACCAGCAAAATAGTGTGACTTTTTACTCCTGGGCACTTCATCAGTGAGATAACCAGGTATGCAATAAATTGATAAATATATTACTATGTTTAGTTACAAAATAAATTTTTATACAATAAATAAAATTAAACCTCAGTACAACTCAATACAAAATGAGCAGATATCTCATGGCAAATTAAAGTTATATCCCCACCATGTGTGGATTGTTATATTTTAATAAAACTTAACACCCAAACAAATGGAGTGCAAGTTGGATACCCTGCTAAAAATGTGAATACCCCATCTTAGTCCTACAAACCTGAAATAAATGTATGTTTTCACCCTTTGGAAAATTACATTGTACATGTAAGGTAAATTATCTTAACAAAATATTCTTTACATCCTACCTTGTGTGATTCAACACACATTGTTTGTTCAAACCAAGAAGTTCTTTGTACTTATTTTTTTAAGCCACTGTGTGGATTTCTTGAACAAAAATGGACCAGCTGCATTTCTTAAATTTATGCTGCTACACTAGCTATAGATGTAATATATAAGTAGAATAATCCAAACCAAAAATACAGAAGGATAGCTCCCTAACTGCAAATAACTTCATATCTTTTACAGTGTCTCAGGCTACAAGGTTAGCATTGAAAGATTGATAATGCTATTAATTATTTTAAGAAGTTTCTAAAGTGTAAAAGTTTAAAATACATGGCATGTTTAAAATACAAAATGACAAAAAGGAGAAATGGCACTACCGTTAGCCTAATAGTACTCCACTACTAAAAAGTACTCAGGTGAGCCTAAATATCACTGACTTGAGAGTGGTAAGCTCTCAGTAATGACAATTATAAGAATAAACCTTACAGACACATTGACACTTCCTGTAGTGCTATTTGGCTATTTTATCATTTTGTGTTTAAATCCCACCCACTCCACATTGTCCCACCCTTCAATTTCTCGCTTTGCTCAGATATAAACATTATTTGCCTAGTTTGTGTATCTAACCAGCGATGCTCAAACACAGCATAGTGTTGTATTGATCTCATTAGCCCCCAGTTCAACAAGGCAACCCATAAACTATTCGACAAATTGGTACAATCATGAAATAATTGATTATCGGTACTAAGCAAATTCGAGTTGTTTCTCACGGTTTCTAGCAAGTCTAAGAGTTACTGTAACAGTTGCGAAGGTTGCTGCATTGGTTGGGAAAGCTCTAAGAATTGTCGCAGTTAGCCCATGCGAGAATGCACTCAAACCACCACTTCTGTAAGTTTTACGAATACAATCCAACATGCCATGATATTTACGCTTCCTTCCAATTTCATCTGCCTGTAATCTTGACTTCACAACATCTATTGGGTAAGTAACAACCCATGAGGAAATTCCACTCAATCCACCTGCCATCAGTATAGCCAGAGGTCCAATACAATCTATGCTATCTCCTTCAGGTGTCAGTGTGTGGCAAAATAACTCGAATGTTCCAAAGTAGATAGCAAAGGCAGGGGTTTCTCGCAGTAGTGTTAAGGTCATCCCCTTGTAACAGCCTTTAACACCATGTTGTTGGTAGATTTTTAGCAAGCAATCAAACGAACCTTGGTATTCTTTCTTAGCAGAACTTTGAACTTGCACACGAGTTTTTGCTAATTCCATTGGACAGCACACAATTGACTGAACAGCACCTGCAATTCCTCCAGCGATGCACTGACTGGATAACCCTGGCTCCAGCAGACGAGATAGATTACCCTGGACTCCAAATAGGATAGCATTTATGAGGCCTACCCCGGCCATTGGAGAAAGCATGCCTTTGTACAAACCAAACACCTGTAACAAGAGAAAAATAAATGGCACGAGAAACATAAAAGTGTCAATAAGTAAAATATGACCAGAAGTCAACCCTTTGATAAAAACAGAGTGGCCAAGATCAACCTTCTCAATATAAAATCATTATAACTGTAATCTAGTGTACAGAAATGATAAGTTTTCTGGTTCAAAAATTTGGGAATCTAAACCCCTTGGAATTAAGTACCTACTGAAAAATATCTTTAAGAAAGTGTACAAATGCCACCCTCTTAATAATCAAACTCGATTTTGCTGCTGCTATGTTTAATTTGGTTGTTTGATTCTGAAGCTGTACAAGTGTAAATGTAGTGTATTGCATATTGAAATGTGATGTATGTAGGTCTAGCTTAGCTGAATTTTTATGCTGCCATTTACTTGATCATGGCGGTGTCCAACCACAAAGCTCTACTTTGGTCAACCCTCACATATGACTTTCATTTCTTTGCACCTTAATATTACTTAATATTTTTATTATTTTCATTACTTTACCATATAGAATGTGTGTAAAGGACTTTCAAAGTGTAAATAAAGAATTGAATTGAACCCACTGAGAGGAAAACAGTTGAATAATCCAAAGCTGTACTACAAGAAATGTAAGAAGAACAGTAAAGAGATGATATGTTCACAAAATCTGTCCAGCTGTAGGCAATTTTAACAAATATTTTCTAACCTTAATTTTTTTGGCAAAAGAGTAAATCTGGGATTACAGAAAGACAAGGTGTTTTTACAAAATCTCTCTGTGTCAGTTTGTTTCCTTTTTTTTTAATCTTATTTTGGCACTATGTTATGTGCTATAGAAAACTGAAAGAATGCAAAATAACATCTTACAAAATCTCGTTTACACCCTCGAAGGAGAATCTGAAAACTTCTCATGCTTCAAAAATAATTATGACCGAACTACAGTCGAACTTCCCGTGAGCCTACAGGAGGTCGTCGCTTACAATGGCTTACACTATATTGGTTCAAAATTTTGCCTTATTGGTATAAGATACAGTAGCTGCAGAGACTGTTTTAAATGTTTTATTCAAGTGAAAAATCAATTTTGAAAAAAATCTGTTACTTTTCATAAAGAATTTTCCATACAGTGTACTATCCAGGAAATGTAATAATGTTATTACAACTTGTTATCCAATTTTCCCTTTATTATTTGTCAGGTGGTCACTTACAGGAGGTTAAAAACAAAAGAAAATTTCAAACTTTTAGCTCTAGAAGTGGTTGCGGTCACTTATGAGAGATGCTCAGTTACAAGAGGTTCCAAATATAGTGATTTGACTTGAAAACTTTTGGTATTTTGGAAATGTTGGCTAACTGTTTCAAACTCTGTTGGAATAGGAATGTTGACGAAAAATCAATAAAAACAATTACAGTTAGCTCTCCCATCAATAACTCACTTCATATCTTTATTTCGGCGTTCTGGGAGTATTTTGTGTGCAAGTGGCAGTACTCAGTCATAATTTTAGCAAAGTTTTGGCCTAAAATTGCAGCAAAATCACCCTGACCTGGATAGTGCCCCTTTGGTGGAAAGCTTCTGACAATTTGCCAAGTCTCAAAACTTATTGACCTGTAGGAATACCTCTAAAAAAAAAAAAAACATTAAGGCACCAGCAATCAGGCAAGGCATCCGGTAGTTTCACGCCCTACAAACTACCTGTCTGCTTGATTTGCAGAAATTGAATGTTAATCAAAGTTTAATCACTAGAAACAATTTTAGGTCCGAAGACAAGTCAGCTTCTTCATTCATGTTGCTCTCTTTAGCAAAAATACAAAACTCAATGGCATGTAGGGCTACCCAATATAACAACACAAGATATCAGACAACTATTATGTCGTTCTGTCTACAATATTTTGAAATGTCTGTTGTTTGGCGTCACCTCACCGTTTCATGTTTTATTATCTGAGTAAAACAATTGAACGTCCCTGTGTATCGCTTGGTTACTTGAGTCTGAAGGCGAACCTAACAGAAAATAACAACAACTCAGTAAATTGGTGTCATTTTGAAGATCAAATGACCTAAAGACACCGGTAAACGCGGAATACAACTTACAAGCTCGTGCCTTTGTCCGTAGCGGAAAGTTGTCTGATCACGAACATGGAATTTTAATCGCTATCTCCTTGAAATGGAAGTATAACTTACCTTGACGGTATCGAAAGGATGCCCCACTACTATACCAGACAATCCTGAAGAAAAAAACACCGCATGTTACAATTTACACCATTATGTTTATATCCCCTGTGGTGAGTTAACAATCTAAACATACATTCAAGCTACATGATCGATCAAACCTCCAAGACATCCTGCTACGAAGTCTAGTGCCATTAGAAACAACACTAGACGGCAATTTAGCTTGACAAGTGACGAGTATGCGACGACCTCCCTTCCGCTCTCGCTACAACTACTGGCATCGTACCAAAACGTTGACAAATGTATGCATGCCACATAGACACTAAGTTTGTAAAATATCTCAGTCTCCTCATTTCGCAACGAACGAAAAACACAATAAGTAAAGAATGCACTCGGATTCCACGTGAGTAACACGTGAGTAATGAGCCAATCATTCGCCCGTGCCAGTCGGGCACGGTTAATGTAGTCTGAGATGGGGAATGGTATGGGTGGGAGATTTGTTTTACATCCTAAAACCCACCAAGTTTTAAAAGATCTGCATAAAAGTTGAAGATAAAAGTGAAAAGGAGAGGATTATCTCAATTGCTCTCTTATTTTGAACACTGTTTCCTAAGAATG